AATGTGGGTTTTGAGGTCAGTCTGGTTCTGATTCTGGCTCTGCCCTTTGTGGGTTTGTGCAGCAACCATTGGCTTATCCTAATCCCATTGGCCTCTGAGTCTACATGGATAAAATGAAGTCACAGACTCTTGCTAAGATTAAGAGGTAAAAACTCAACACAATGCCTCACTTAGCTGAGGTCTTTGATGTTGGTCCTTTTATTTTTTTTTCTGAAGTTGCTCTTCCCTTTCATGTTTTGTTTTCATGTGTGTGCTGGTTAGTTTTTATGTCAAATTGCCACAAGCTAGAGTCATTTCAGAAGAGGGAATCTCAACTGAGAAAATGTCTTCACCAAATTGACGGTGGTACATTTTCTTGACTCAATGATGTCAACCCCTGGGCTGGTAGTCCTGAGTAAGCCATGAGAGCAAGCTAGTAAGCAGCACCTCTCCATGGCTTCTCCATCAGTTCCTGCCTCCAGGTTCCTGCCCTAACTTCCCTGGACGATGGACTATAAACTGTCAGATGAAATAAACCCTTTCTTCCCTGTGTTGCTTTGGTCATGGTGTTTTATCAGTTACAGAAAAATAACTAATACAGAAATTGACACTAGGATGATGGGGCATTGCTGTAATAAGCATGACCATGTTTGGGGGAGGATTGTGGAGGGACTTTGGAACTTTAGGCTGGGAAAGCCATTGAGTGTTCAGAGCTTAATGAATTGCTGTGGGAACTAAAAATGATAAGCCTCAGAGCAGTGCAGATGATGGAGGCCTGGCTTGTGAAGTTTCAGAGGAAAGTTTGAGAGTCTCTTAAAGACTGTATCAGGGCCATTTGATATCATTTGGTATTTTGAATTAAGAGCTGCAGCCGGCTGGTGGTGGCGCATGCCTTTAATCTCGGCTCTTGGGAGGCAGAGGCTGGGGGATCTTTGAGTACAAGGCCAGCCAGGGCTAAACAAAACAAAACAAAAAGAAAAGAAAGGAAAAGAAAAGAAAAGAGAAGAAAAGAAAGAGAAAAGGAACTGCTAAAGTCAATCTATACTGGTCAGATGGGGCTGAAGAATCAGCTGTGAATAAGAAGAGAGAAAATCTTCTGGGTCAGGGTGAGAGGACTTTGAGGTTGCATCTCATAGAGGCAGCTGAACTTGGTAGAGCAGGAATAAAGTAGGAATCACCTGTGGGGTATTAATTTTGAAGGCAATTTGGGGTTCCAGAGAGCGCTAAGGGCTGGAGTTCCTGGAGAGGCCTGCAGTGGGTGGGGTTGCTCTGCTCATGACCTTGAGTTATTTGACCCAATATAGGCAGTACTTCTTGTCTTCGATGGGACCCTTTTAAAGGAAAGAAGGGGAGCTCTGGCTCGTGCTTGGTATGGTTGGGCATCAAGCAGCAGAGAGGTGGCATGGGATCAGCGGTGGCTGGATCTGCAGCGGCTTCTGTTTTGTTCTGTATTGGTGAGTTTGTCTTTCCCTTGCACCCCTTAATAAGCTGGTTATTATACTTTTTGTAAATTCTCACTTCAGAAGCCACTGATGAAGGTGCAGTCTCAGTAGCATTTGAAGCCCCCAGGACTGAAGGGGTCATGGAGAGAATGTGAGGCCTGACACTGCGTAGCAAGGTTAGAATCCCCGGAGAGTCCAGAAGCTACCGGTGAAGGAACAAGATACTAGGTAGGGTTCCTCCACAGCTTCTGCTTCATTTCCTGCCTCCAGGTTCCTGCCCTGGCTACCATCAGTGACTAAGTGTGACCAGAGAGTCGTAAACTGAAATAAATCCTTTCCGCCCCAGGTTGCTTTTGGCCATGGAGTGTTTTCACAGCAGTAGAGAACTATATAAGACAAGGTGCATCATACCACTTCTATAACAGAGTCTACAATGACGGATTTAGCAGCACCACAGGGCACATAATTTCCTCCAAACTGAAGAAGACAAACATGCCCATCGACTACTCACACCTCCAGTATTCATACAAAATGGGAGACAATAGTGTAACAGAATCTACGTTGATACAGCCAACAGTATCAGTTTTCCAGGCACTACAACTGTGAAGATTGAACAAGATACTGTGCTCAGTGTTTTGAGAGTAATGACATATAGTTGCATAGTAAATGCCAGTTTCTTTAATAGAACATATCCAGTGTCTCTCAGACCCATTTCAAGCTCACCTGATCTATAGCATCTCCATCTTTCCACCTCAGATTGCTCTTTTGTAGTAGCTAAAGATATTTAGTTCACTTAAGCACTGGTTAGAACACATTCTACATAAAAGATTGTGTTGGGTGTCCAAAGAGGTAACCTGAAGGCTGTTCCTTGACTCTGAGGCACTTCACTGTGGTGGTAACATACATGAAAAACTGAACAGGGACCCAAGGCATGGTGGGACAAGTTACAAGAAGTTTAGGTTTGCGGATTAGAGTAGCTCATTTGAGATTACTCTGTTCTCAAGAACTAGTGAGCTCTAGCTTTGTGGTTGATGGGTGTCAAGATCTAAGTGTTGTATGGTCAGAGCTGTGGAGAGCCACATCTATTCTTACCTATGCTCAAGTCTTAATCAGTTTCTTCCTTCTCAGTAGACGGTTCAACTTTGAGCTCAGAAGCCAAACTGAATCCTGGTGGTGCTACTGTTATCAATGTGATTTGGTGCAAATTATTTAACTTTGTGTTTTCAGTGCTTCGTCTTTTGATTTTTTTTTTTTTTTGAGTCAGGGTTTCTCTGTGTAGCTTTGTAGACCAGGTTGGCCTCCAACTCACAGAGAAATACCTGCCTCTGCCTCCCAAGTGCTGGGATTAAAGGAGTGGGCCACACCGCCTGGCTCAGTTCTTCATCTTTAAAATGATCTTTTTTTTTTTTTTTTTTTTTTGAGACAGGGTTTCTCTGTAGCTTCTATTCCAGGGTGGTCTCGAACTCACAGAGATCCATCTGCCTCTGCCTCCGGAGTGCTGGGATTAAAGGGGTGTGCCACCACCGCCTGGCTCTAAAATGATCTTAATAGTACTCTACTTCATAGATTGTTGTGAGGATTAAATAATGTAATGTATGTAAAGCTAGAAAAACTGGAGTTATAATTGCTATTAATTTTAGTCTTTAAAAGAATGCAAAACAATAAATTTAGTCTTGTAGTCATTTTATTTATTTTTGAACCTCCTCTCTCAGATTGTGATCAAGCTATATACTTTAAATAAATAAATAAGCAAATAAATAAATGAATAAATAAATAAGGTCAGGGGTCCTAGCACCTGGGAGGCAGAGGCAGAGGCAGAGGCAGAGGCAGAGGCAGAGGCAGGCAGTTCTCTATGAGTTTGAGGCCAGCCTGGTTTACAGAGTGAGTTCCAGGCCAGCCAAAGCTATCCAGTGAGTCTCTCATTCTATGTCTCTCACACACAATAAATAAATAAAATCACAGGAATGATTGCTGCCAGTCCCCACTGGCAGTTAACAATGGTTTACCATACAGGTAAGTACTTAATAAATGCATATTAGCTGCCTTACTGCCATTGGAAAGCTTTGAAGGTCTGAAGTGAGGCTTGAGATTTGTGCAAACCTGGTCTGTACCAGGAAAGTGGAGAAAAGTAAAACCTGGTAAGTCGACAGGGCCTGATGGATAGAGTAACAGAGTCTATAAGTCAGTCCAAGTTAATGGATGCTGAGAAAGATGAGGGTCTGTAAGCCAAATAAGATTTCCCATCTATTTTAAGATACACGCCAAGTTTCTTCAGACAGAAATCAAGCCTTTTAAGGAAGGTGAGGCGAACACACCTCGTGGGCTGTGCTGCCTTAAGGGGATGCTCAGCAGGTGCTGAGTCTCACCCTGAAGGTGGCTATGGGATTGTGTGAACTGAGGTGGCAATACTGGCTCTCTCCGGAAGGAAAGATGCTATCTCTCTCCGGGGAGTTAGATGACTATGGCACCACATGAAACAAGAAACCGCAGCAGCCACCCCAGCCCAGCCCAGCCCAGCCCAGCCCAGCCCAGCCCAGCTCAATAGTCAGATTAAACAAGAGCCATCTTTTTTTTTTTTTTTTTTCCTGGGGGCAATCTTCTAGATCTTCCTCAAGTGCCTGAAGCAGAAATTCCGGGATACGTTGCAAGTCCAGAGGGCGGTTGCATCATTAAGAATTGTGGAGAGCAGGTGGAGGAAAAAATTTATACTCAAAGAAGAAGAGAAAAAACATGTATTTCTTGGGGGAGGGGGTCAGGGGAGTTAGGGATTTGACACCACATCAGTATCGCCTGTGAGACAATCTAGGAACGGAGGTCTCAGTTCCCTTCCAAATCCTCAGCATTTGATAGGAGCCGATCACACAGCCCTATTCCCTATCCGCACCCAGGCGATACCAAGTCAACCCAGCATCTTCTAGTGAAAGAGTATCGAAGAGAAAGCAGTACGTGTGTCTCAAGTTCCCGCACGAATGTGTCTGGTGAGGACCAGGCAGGTCTGGGTCCGCTGAGGGCCATGGATTGGGTGTGGAGCCTTAGGGTGAACCGTGCGCTGGTCCCTAGATCCGCCCCCCACCCCCCCAGCATTGGGTCTCCTTGCAGTTGCTTTTCCGACCCTCGCTCGGGCTTCCCGGGAGTTCTCATCGTGGTCGGGGTAGGGAAGACACCTGTTTTGCTTCCTTCAGCACCGGGGTTCCTCTCGGCTCCCTGATGGCACCATGCTCCCCTCACCCCCTGCCTTCTGTCCCTCCGCTCCCGTGACGTCGGGGAACTCCCAAGCACAACTGGGGGCGAGGCAGTTAAGCCGCGTCCTTCAGGTGTCAATCCGGACCTATGTGAAACCACAATTCCCAGAGTGCCTCGGTCCACGAGGCCAAGGCAGATAAAATGGCCCCAGAGAGTGGGACATACAACTTGGAAACTGGTCTCCGGTGTCTTTACCGGATGTATTTAAATACTCGAAGCCCCACTTCTGCACCACTCCAGTATCACCTCCAGACCGCGGAGACCGCGTCTTAAGGTGCGCCCGCTCCCGGGGCATTTTGGGAATTGTAGTCCAGATGCCAGGTTGTACAGAACTACCTTTCCCATGGTGCGCAGCGGCCGGGCGACAGCAACGTTCTCTTTTCAAGTGTTTCTGTCCCGAGTGCCCCCTCCTCTGGTCCCCTTCTTGCCATCGATTTCTTTCGGTCTGTGACTACAGCTGGTATCCCAGAGGCGGCCCTGAGCGGGGGACCACGCTGCCCTGAGAGGCACTTCCGGTGACAGGTCACTTCCTGCTGGGTGGTGGGAGCGGACGGGCGCGCGCGCGCGCGGGGGAGGGGCGGCCTCA